GTACGTTCCACTGGCTTCCATCTAGCCAGTTACGTTCTATTTTTGTGAACGAGCGATCAAACAATATTCAACCGGCGTTACGATTCTTTTTCATTGGTTAAACAAATTCCAATCGGACGATATTACACGAAACGAATGATCGTCCTGGGATATGAGATATTCGGAATACCTCGAAAACAAGTGCAAAACATTTTTCTCTGCTGAATAAACAAACTGGCATTCCACCACGTTACAGTGAAAAACTACACATTTCATCGTCGACGTGTACGCCAGAAAAAAAAGAAAAACAGCGATCAGGTTAAGTCAAGCGCAGCTTTCGCTGCCAGTATCAGCCTCAAAGGACTTTCGAAAGCGTAAATTTCTACGCCTGGTGTATCAATTTGTTAGCCTCTAAGGTATTTAAGAAGTGCGGCAGCACTGTGTCGAGGAATAAACTGCTTGGTTTTATTTAAGAAATACATTGCAATCACAATACAAATAATATATTCCTGTTACCAGATGCCAATTGAGACTAGAACTACCAAAGTGACCAAACTTATTTATATATTTCTCGTCAGAAATTTTATAGATTTACAGTGCACTTTTAGAGATTTAAATGATTTTTCAGAAAATATATAAATAGAAGTTTGTGCAAGTTATTGTTTCTATCGAGATCAAATTCATCTGGTCTCGTATCACTCTGAGCATCCTAGCACCAGACACACGGTTAATCTTCCCCTTACTTCGTATTCGACGCTTTTTAAACCGAGAGTCGAACAACAAAAAGAATTGAAGCAACTTACTTCAAACATCGGATTTTGGCTGTCGGTTACGGTGGTCGAGCTTCGAAAAGAGAACCCGCGCGGAGATTTTGAGAACAGCGCAAATATTTGCGCGCCGAGTGTAAATGGATAGACACGGACGTCGGTGGTCAGACGCCGTGGTCTAGTGGCCGAAAAATTTTTCAAATTGATGCTTTCAGACACGGTGCGAACGAGCGGTTTCCCGAGCAGACTGGCACATTGATTTTTTAAGAGGAGCAATTCGCGCGCGACGTGACTTCCACCGGTGAATTTGTGAGCATCAGAACGGACGCGAGTCGAAGAGTGAAGAAGAATGTTCATTCTTCGTGATTTTTCAACTTATCACACGTTTCGTTTGCAACAAATGGAACTATCGGAATTATCAAATTACTGTAATCATTTAGAATTGTTTTGCAAGATAATATTTATTCTTTGCAAGACGTATTACTGACATATACATAAAGAATATACAAAAAATTATACAAAGAAACCGAACAGTTTATTAATTATTCATTTTCTGAATGCCTGATTAAGATACAATCTTAAAACTTGATATATTCTCTTTTTCGTATTTGTGATATTTCTTGTTTTTCCACTTTAGTCTTCAGTTTGCAGTAATTTAGATGCGAAGCTGAATGCAAAACTCGGTTGGAAGTTTCTCGTATGATTCGTAAGAAAAAGATTGAACGCGTGTAATTGAAATTTGTAAATTCGCTCGTCTGTACTTATGCATCGACCAAAGAAAGAAAAAAAAAAAGGAAAAAAACAAAAAAAACATAGTGTTATCTCACCAATATTCCTTCCACGCAGTCGAGTTTTCCTCAAGCAAGCGAAGAAGTGTTTACCCGTAGCCTCGGCTAGATCGCGAGAAGCTCGAGAGAAATTCACAGGGTTGTTATTTCGTTTACGCGTTCTCGCTGCTGTCTACCCTGTGAAGCGTTGCCTAAACGAAGATAAAAGAACGGACCTATACCTCTGGAATAAAGCATAGTGATCCAGAAGGTTCGCAACTGAATTTACGAGTGCCGCGATGAAAATATAATTCACCCTTGCCCTGGTGAAATTTATCTCTGGCTAGAGAATTAAAGATACAAACGGCCGTGATTAAATGGCCGGATGTTTATGCATATAAACGGTGAAAAATTCACCAAATGAGTATCAAGAGTGCGTGGACAAAACGTCCGAAGCAAAGTGCTCGTTAGAGTATTTACAGGGGTGAAATAAAATTGAGATATGAATTTGCATAAATACTTGCGGCATGGACATAATTGATCACAATTCATTTGCATGCGGATGTTTGTCCATTTGTAGAAAATTTAAGAGTGCAAAATTGCGCAAAAATATGTAAAACATCTAAATTTTCTAACAGAATTTAATAACTGAAACCATTTTAAATTTTTAAATTAAATTTTTAATTCTTTGCAGTCAAATCTATTGTTTTGTTTGTGAGATAAGTGATGATGTTGTAAAGCTCGATTTGCTTTCCTTTCTGTTGCAAAATAATTAACGATAATATTTTTTAGTAACAGAAATTTGCATATTATTACATTCCGTGTATTTTCCTTCCATTATATAATTTTTCGAAATTTCATGTTAAGCAAAAAGAAAACAAAAATCTGTAAGTAAACGTAGACAATAGTGAACACGAATTTTATACACATATCTCTAAAGACTATAAAAACATTGAAAGCTCGGCAACGGTTTATTATCTATGATAATATTTGTCCGCAGAAACTGGATCCGCGCATCAAACATTGTTTCCACAGATAACGTACTATGAAATACAACATTATAATTAGGTAACATAAAATTATTCTTTGTACGAATAGAAAACATTTCAAAAAAGAATCGTAAGTCTCATAGAAATCTAGAGCAATAATTTGCATAAAAATCCGCAGTTCATTGATCACGTACAAATAATATTCGCGAAAACAAAAAAATTGTGATGAGAAGTATAAATTTTCTAAACCTTCCTCTTGCAAACAACGTCGAGTCCCTCGCGTTTCACGCGTACAGTAAAGCCCATCTATATTTTCATCGCAAAACGTTTGCGTCGAAAAACATGACACGAGATTTATTTATTCAAGTCGCTATTACAAGCTGGATGCATTCGACGAGGGATGCAAAACGAATAAAACAGCCGGAAGATCGGCATGTTCCTGTTTTTGGGACAGCTGGCACGTGAAAACGGGTTCGCGATTTTACACATGCGCGGACGTAGGTGCAAAGGCAATTAACAGACGAATCTGTCGGATGAGTAGCGGCGCGTAGATCCGCGACACACACACGCTGTTTGTTGTACCGGTCACTTCCGGTCGGTGTACCTTCCAAAACGACGAATAGGCGCCGTCACATTATGCGAAAGATTTAGCACATTCCCGATTCGTGTAATTAGATCTCAACGTTAATAGAAATCTATATAAAATCAAAAATTTGGAGATTATGTTAGGTATAGGTGAGGTGCAGTGTTGGTTGAATTTAGGACAGCCTAGCAATTAGGGTTTCACACTAATCAGAAAAGTAATAATAGTAATTTATAAAAGGACGAATTAAAATTATACTGTACGGGTCAAGGTTTTAAAAAGACAAAAAAGCGTGTTGTGTGTACTTAGAACAGTCCATCTTTGTAATTATAATTCTACGTTGTCTAAAAAAAAGGCAAGAAATTAAAATTATAGTGAGCCACTTTCGCTCAGTTCTCAAAAAATTGGACAAGAATCGTGTAATATTCCGGAAAATTTAAGATAGTCGATTCTTTTAACTAAACTTCTACGCTAACCAAAAACAAAAGCAGGAAATAATAACTTGTAAAAATTCACGAAATTGCAACAAGTCTGAATAATTATGCAGATTGTGACAACGACAAAGAAATTGAGGTACTTGGAACAGTCTATAAAAAAAAAAAAAAAAAAAGGAGAGAAACTGAAATTCACGAAACTAGAGCGAGTCTCTTTTGATCGGTGTTTCAATGTGATTCAACAAACAAACCGCATCGTAGCACGAAATTTCTCGTAATGAAGATTTCACGCTGTCTAGAGTGAAAGATAATAACCAACGAAAGGAGAGAAACAAAAATTCGCGAAACTGCAGCAGATTCGAGTAGCGACAGGAAGCCGGAGAAAAATAAAACGATGTAACTCCCATTGTCTTCCGCGGAGATCGTGGGATCGTGAAAAACGATGGCTCGTCGAAACGACGAGGAAATTGGGTTACACAGTTTCCTGGCAGGGAACTCGGGCTGCCCGCCCAATAAAAACACTGGTTGAAAGATATAATGGGCCGAAATTTGGTTCTGGCGGCTCTGCGAGGAGAGAAGGGAAAAAAAAGAGTCTCGTAAATTAAGCAGACCGCGATTACCAGGCGGTAATTAACGGAAAGGATTTTCAGAGTTCTCTCGTCGACGTATGCGTGTCGTAGACAACGAACGTTGGCGTACATGATAACGCCAGGAGAACAAAAGATACGTCGAACAGAGATTATTGGTAATTTGGTGCAACAGCGAACAACGACACGATGCCTCGTTATCAAGTAATTATTACGCTGGAGAATTAGAGCGGGCGAGTCGCGATCCGACGATTAATTATGCCGCGCGTTACAAGTCGCGCAGTTATCCACTGTTGCGGAAATGTTTATTTGCTTCGTTGAAACTTTCGCGAAAACGATGTTGCGGAATTTCACCGGCGGGTGGGAAATCTCTTAACGAATATTTCTGGTATAAAATTTTTCTCGAAGACTGGAGGTTGAAATACTTTCGAGACTTGTTAATTGTATCAAAAGATGTACCGAAGAGAAAGTGATGTAGTATAATTTTTCAGGTGAACATGTTAATTTCATCTTTTCAGATGGAACGATATATCTTTTAATGTATGTTATGCGTGCGCAGATGATTTAATTTTGCAATTTTGTGTTCTACGCGTACATTTACAGAAATGCTAGTTAAAATTTAATCCTTGTTTGAGTTGTTTCTTGATTTATAGTTAATAATTTTTATAATATTAATCTCCCAATCTTAAATAACCCTCGATTACATGCTATCTCTTAACAATACAATTTCTTCCATAATTTCTACGTGATTACATCTTTTTTTTAGAGATAGATTAATTACACCCTTTTTTTCTTTTTCGTAAGATATTTGAATATCCAGTGAAATAAAGGGAAACAGTAATGGAACGATTATTGCAGCGTGGAATTTAGGGTTACGAACATTTCTGTTCGCAGGCAGGTTTACACGGCCTAACCGGACATATCGAGTTCAACGAAGGGAAGCGCAACAACTTCAAGCTCGATCTACTGAAGTTGAAGAAAGAGGAGCTGGTGAAGGTGGGCGAGTGGAAGCCTGGAACCGGCGTTAACGTGACAGACGTTGGTGCTTTTTACGAGACCAGTGCCACTAATATCACCTTGGTCGTTATGACGAGAGAGGTAATCACCGAGCTCACCGGTAATCATGCTCGCGTAAACGCTTGCTCCAAAAATTACGTTCGCTCTAAAACATTCACCGTGCCGTACAACGTCATCGACATCGAAAGAACATTTCCTATACATAAATATAGTTATATAAATACAGTGCATCCTATAAATAAATTTCTGCGTTCGTGTAATATATAATTCAGTACGCTGCGCCGTATGATTTCTATTACTTCTATAAGTTTGTTTCGTCTGCTTTTATTTTTTTTTTTGAAATCGGAATAATTATTTTAAACGAGATACAGAAATCGTCGTCGAGATCTTTTTGTATCATTTTGAATTTTCGAGAGATACCAAGCCTGGCGAAGGATGCAAAGGATGATGAATAATTTCTCAATCTTCAATTTCGTTCCCTTTTAAAGAACAGCGAGATTCAGAATGTTCTTCGAAGCTGTTTCACGTCTGAATATTTTCAAATGTTTAAAGCAGAAATTTGCTCCCGCCGCTAGATATAACAACTACTTTACTTTAAATATTTCGTAGAATTTTACAATTCGCGCGCACTCCGAAGATTCTCGTATTTCTAAATTCCTCGGGATTTCCAAGTTCCTTTCGCACGCGTCTGCGGATTTTCGTGTCGTTTAAATTTCTCATAAATGCATTTGAATATTTTCGTACTTCCAAACGTTTCCTAGACGCATTTTCCTTCACTTTTCCGCTTAAACAGACATACTGTTCACTAACACGCCGACGTCACGACGTCGGTTGTTTAGCTTTCGGACGTGCTCTGCCGCCGGATCGCAGCCAGAAAAGTCTGCTCCCCCCGAAAGAAACTAATTTCACTCGGGCATTCACTCGGGGCGAAATCGTCGCGAAAGATACGACGCGTTCCGCCTCCGTCTCCATTTTCCAAGATGAAAGGAACGGGGGAGGAAAAGAAGGAAGGAAAGCAGACTTAGAAGCTTCCATCGGAACCGTTCGCGTTAGAGACTGTCCAATGACGCTACACGTTTCATACCATCGATGCCGGTTCTTATCTTTGAATAAGAATCTCTCTCCTCGGATAAAAGAAAAGCAGTTCCCTCTCCTCCCACCCACTCTCCGAGTTTCGCCCCTTTCTACTTCACTTTCTACTCCATCCTCTCCTCATCCGTCTGTTTATCTTCCGACACTCGGTCCCGCACGCTGGCGATCCGTCAAAGGAATCCTATCTTCTTGCAGGAGAAACCGTACGTCATGGTGAAGGAAGACAAAAATCTGACGGGGAACGCGAGGTTCGAGGGGTTCTGCATCGATTTGCTCAAGTGGATCGCGGGACAAGTCGGCTTTCAATACGCCATACGACTGGTGCCTGATCACATGTACGGTGTTTACGACCCGAAAACCAAGGAATGGAACGGCATCGTTAGAGAACTCATGGAAAAGGTAAAATGGGAAACTCCCTGGCACGTGCCTGTAGATAACAAGTAGAACATAGGGGGACTTGTTTTTTTCTTATTTACTTGTTTCTGGCAATTTCGTGTTGGCGCTGATACGACTGAACGTAGGAAGCTCGGAATAAAATACGACGTTTGAGAAAGTGCTAGAGAGAAAAGATAGATCAATCTGTTAACTTATCGTAGTATTACAATAAGAATTCAATTTCTTGACATTTTATAAAATTATGGAATCTCGGTGACGTAGACTTTGTTTCTGTCTTGAATTCCGTCGTAATTGGTTTATCATGAGAAACAACGAACAAAATATAGTGTGAAATTCGTTAAGGATCGAGGAATAATTTATCGTAATATTACAAATATTTCAAATTGTATTTCGTAAAATATCACGTCACGTAATGGAAGGCGCCAAACATTCTGATACAAAATATAAACATATTCTGATTACGAACTAAAGATCGTTCCAACCAAGCTCCAATTAAATACCCTCTCCATAAAACTTTCCGCGACTACCGAGAGCGCACCAGATATTTCCACCAAAATTAATACCAACATTCCGCTCGGACAGAAACATAATATCACACGTCTATTTATTTGCGCCGTGTCATTTTAATTACAACCACCTGGGTACAAAACATTCAGATACACGATACAACTGGTATGTAGTTTCAACGTTAGCGCGGAGTTTATCGCGCAGACGGGGGAAATATCAGCAACTTCCTTGGGAGCTGGCGTTCCGTTACGCGAGCCGAGTCTCTCGATGAAACTGTATACTCTCGCGAGTAAAAGAAGGGGGGGAAAAGAAGAAAAAAAAAAGTAACGAACGCAGAGGGAAGAGTCCGCGAATAATTTTATATGCAAAGTAGTGGCCCGATGCTGTCGTAATAAATCCCTCCCGACTGCTAGACTTTCATTATGCATGCTCGGTGCCCGAGAGGAGCATCTAATTTGGCGTTTTCTCTAACCGATGGTGGCCACGTATCGGATATTCCGATTCATGGCGACCGCCGATGGCAGATGTTGCCATCAGGTGACATCTGAATTGTAAAAGAACGGTGTTATTAAGTTGGAATCTCACCAACAGTGGCCAATTGCTTCAACAGCCGTCGGATAATTTATGAGATGTAGCGAATCTAGGCAATCGCTTCCATCGACTTCGCTTCGACCGAGGATTTCACCGAGAAATATTACTGGCCAGTTGCAAAAATCGGCTGGATTTAATCTCCTTAACTGCGGCGAAGCTGCACGCGCACATGACACTACACTGGATTATTAAAAGATTATTAAAGGGAATTAATTACGTCGTCGTTAGTTGCCCAACCAACCAATGCAACGTAATATATCTGCTGAACTAAACCGGCGAATTCCCTATAATTTCCATCCTCTTAACGATAATATCTAACGATCTAATTCCATCCTCTTAATGATAATATCTAATGCAGAATGGCTGGATCAAGGCAGTGTACGTTGATATTTCGTCCTATAGAAGATCGATCAAACGAGACTGTTGCGAAAGTACTTTGACGATATGTTCCTACACTGATCTATAGTTGAACTTCTCCACTTTTTATTAACTTTCCAATTCAATTACATACAAGATTAATATTCAATTTACAATAAACGAAGGATTCAATTTACGGAGATAATCAATGCGGCTTCAAAACATCTCACTTATTGCATCGGTAGTAAGGCTCTTCTAAGTAGTACAACTCCGTATTCGGTCAGACGTCGATCGAACGACGCAAGTAGGCAAAAGACGCGGCTCAAAATGGCGAAAATACCGAACGTACAAGGTCGAAAGTGTAAAGGCGAGAATGAAAGGATGAGAATTTTCCACAAGTAAAAAGATGAATGTCACGCCTCCGAGCATCAAGGTCGCGGATGGCTCGCGGCTGAGTCGTGTTTTACGCGAGTGCGACGGACGGTGAATTCCAAAGTTCGCCGATTTATAAAAGATGCAGGGCAATCTGTTCGCAAAGAGGACATTCAGAAAGAGCCTTAACCCAGAAACTGGGGGGCTATAAGTGGATCGTCTCGATGGAAAGACGTCATCGGCGGTGACCTGGCTGTACCAGGTTTCGGTTCGCTCATAAAAGATGCACTCGCTATTTTGCAGGGCAAACGTTTGCCTAGGCGAACACTTGCCAGGCGAGCGTTTGTCGATCGGTCTCCCTCTAACGACAAACAACCCTTCCTCTCTTCCTTTCTTTCGTCGAGAATGATATTACGTTGAAGGTGATACGCGCAGCAACGTATATTTATGAATATTCGGAAAGAAGAGTTTCCTTAACGTCTTAAAACAGAATCACAAATCTTATTTACTTGGTTCGCATACGACGCGACGGATCAAATGGTGACGAAATTTAAATTCGCGAGAGATTCTAATAGTGAGCTTCCTGATTTTATACTGAGCGTATAAAATCGTGTAACAATCTACTTGGTCTCTACTACAACTCTGTGGAATTCGTTTTTTACATCACACAACAGGCGAGATATTTCTAATCTCGAAAATTGTAAAAATTCAATTCTGAAGAGAAAGTTGAGAAATTTTTTCCATGATTTGGGTCCATCACGGCCTTGAAAAATATAACTTTCTCTTTATAACTTCCCCAAACTTTTGTACGATTTGTTGAACTTTGAACAATAGCTCGGGGCAGGCTTTCAACTTACACCCTATAAAATATTTTATCTTCATAGAAAGGTTTTCGTTTCAAATCGTAGTTACAGAGAATTCTGACGTATCGTTGTCCGATGAATCTCAATTTCGTGTGCTCCCTTTTTTGAATATTTGGACAGCTTGTGTCCGACGAGGCATGCATGTAGAACTATCGTTCTGTTTTCACGCGAGAAATCTCCCTTTTGCCCACAGAGAGCAGACCTGGCTGTTGCGTCTATGACGATTAATTACGCTCGGGAGAGCGTAATAGATTTCACCAAGCCGTTCATGAACCTCGGTATCGGAATTCTGTTTAAGGTAAGTCGCTGTTGTCGTTCACAGTGTGTCTCGATAATGGTAAACTAACTTGTAATTTACATTCACGGTGTGTGCAACATGTATCAACTTTCGAGAATCTCGTTCTCGTATGAGGAACCCAGATTGATCAATTTTTATTTTCTGAGGAACAATTTTTCACTGTTCACGTACAATTTTTACAAATTAATTGTAATTTAATGCAATTGTAATTGAACTTTTCTATAACTTGAGAACTTTTGTAAAATAAAAATTTTCTTCAATTCTTTTCGTTGCAGAAATCTTTAAAACTCGAAATACAAATACCTGAGTACTTAACTCGAATTATTCGTTGCAAATATTCGCCACCACGTTCATTTAAATAGTGTTTGTAATTGTCATTGTTAAGCTGCAGGTGTTTATGTAATTTTACGAATTATTATATTTTCATGAATACAATTAAAGGCGTAGAATCTAAATAAAAATTTCTTTCGTTTACTACCCTTGAATATTTCATACATTTTCGCAGATGTAGAAACCTTTTTGAATTAATAGAGCTATCGACGACCAAAATATGAAACTTGTGTCAAAGAAAATTGAAATGTAAAAAACAAAACAATTCGTAATGTAATAAAAAACATGAGCATTTATTTATATGTTTCACGAGGAGTCGTTCAAACGTCGAAAAACAAACCACTATGAATCTTACAAAATTTTTACAAATTGGCCAGTTTAATTTCTCTAATAAAATCTAAATTAATAAGATTGATCAATCTGGCTCATACTATATTCGTCAAAGATTTAGCAAAAGGAAAAGATATACTTTATTCAAAGATGATACGATTCCATACGATCGTGTCCTCGAGTTCATTTTGCACTTCCAACTACACGACACTGAGTCGAGCGGCGTTGAACAGAGAGCGGGATTCTCGATGAAATATCGATTCGTCCGGCGTTACCAATCGTGAGAAAAAGGCCCGCGCCGGTACGGCGGGAGAACGGCGTACGGGATCCGTTTTAATTAAAATCGTAGCGTAACGTAATTTAGGTGCCCTCCAGCCAGCCAACGCGGTTGTTCTCCTTCATGAACCCGCTGGCCGTGGAGATCTGGCTGTACGTGCTGGCCGCGTACATGCTGGTGAGCTTCACCCTCTTCGTTATGGCTCGATTCAGCCCGTACGAGTGGAACAATCCGCACCCGTGTCTGGGGGAAAGCGACATCGTCGAGAACCAGTTTAGCGTCAGCAACAGCTTCTGGTTTATCACCGGCACGTTCCTCAGGCAGGGCAGCGGGCTCAACCCCAAGGTACACTTAACGAGGTGCTCCGCCACTGGACTATTTCTCTGCCGTTCAATTACTCCTACGACTAAGAGCAGACCCTTGTCCCCTTCTTCGTTTATAACTGCCGAGGAAGTTTGTGGATTCTTAAAGGGGGACTTTATGGCGAAAGAAACGGACGACCGACTGGCATACGAATGGTCGTGATTTTTGCCAGCTGGAAACTTTGAAAATGACGTATAATGAGATTGCTTAGAAAAGTATATCGAGGGACTCTTTATTCAGATTTTTGTAAGATCGAGGCTTGAGCTAAGTTTGAAAGAAATTGTCTGTTTTGACATTCAGTGGAGACCGTATCGTAACGCTTTTCGCGTTGTACTTTTTAATTTTCGTATAGACTGGTTTGATATTCTACCAATATGATCTGTTTGACCGTGTGTCGTTCCAGCTTCAAAATTTTTTTAATGAAATTTTACGTAAAATATATGATATAAAATATGTAAGAGTTCTTCCGTGATAATTGTTCGAGTACTTTTGCGAGCCGTTGCGTAAAAATATAGATCGAGAAAAAGACGCGATTCATTATTTGCACACATTTACAGTGACAGACGTAACTGAACACGAAATATTCGTGCAAACAGAATTAAGAAATAGAAGCTAGATATTACTGTACCATAGATTCTTCTACGTTTAAATTTCGTTACATATAAATTAATTATATAAATTTAAAAAAATAAATTAGTTATATAAATTAAAAAGTAGAAGCTAGATATACTGTACCATAGATTCTTCTACGTTTAAATTTCATATAAATGTAAAAAAATCTGCAATCTAATTATGTGAGAAGTAAAAAAGAAAACGACGCTTGTGTTTTCAATAACATATAACTTCGTTCTGAAAGCTTTTATCTTTAGGCAGAAATAAAATTATTACATTGAAATCCGGTTGATTCGTTGAAACTTCAGCGAACAATCAATACAATGTTCTACGTAAAGTTAATGAATTCATTGTTATTTTGCAACACAATAGACGTAACTTCTTTGTATAATTTTCATGTAATATAAAATGGAATACAAAATATGTGTACAAATACAAATACAAAATAATACCTTTTTAATGAATTAAATTATGCCGAGTAATTATCATTATGAAGACTCAAAGACCAACGTTTTACACAATGTTTCTTTCTTACTTATACACTATAGAATATCCTCAGCAAATTTTATCCGGGGAAAAAAAGAAAATTGGAACCTTTTTGTACGAAATCTTTCTTCCGCGGAAAGTCGACGAATTTATTCATAAACGTCTCGCAGAATCCACAAACAAATCTCCGAAAGCAGTTACGGAATTACTTTCACCCTGAAGCCACCAGATTTCCGTCTGAAATCCTTCATCGTGATCGAGCGAGCAAGAAAAATCAGAAGCTGTAAGTCACGGCTGAAAGCGCCGATTGTCGTCGGTGGCTCGGGTTTCGGTGGCCCTCCTCGCATTCGAATGCATCGGGGAGGACTCGACGCCGGTAGATTCGCTCGAATCGTAACCCAAATCACGACGATTCGCGTTCCAGTTTCGCGTCCGACGAAACGGCTGGGCGCGCGGAAGGGGGAGGGGGAGGGGGAGGGGGAGAAAGAAAGGGAACAAGAAGGATAAAGGAACTCGTCTACCGGTTAAATTTCTGCCGCCGTGTTGAGACCACCGCCATTGTATCCCGTTGGCTCCTGACGGGCCAGAGAATAGAAAACGGAATTCGTGATTTCCCGGCGAGATAAAGGATCGTCTTGCGCCGCCATTCACCGGACTGACAGAGGAGCATAGCTGAAGCTGTTATCCTCGAAAGAGTCAGTTCGCGTGACAAAAAAAAAAAAAAAAAAAAAGAAGAAGAAGAAAAAGGAAAAAAGAGAGGGAGAACAGCGAACAAACGGCGCGGAAAAGAGGTAAAGACGTATCGCTCGATGACCAAGAGGAGAAACCAAAGGAAAAATCGGCACCGGGACGAGGAAATACATCGGGATTTGCCGAACGAGAACTGGGCAGAGAGAAAGAGAATGATGAGAGGTTCCAGGGTATAAGGTTCAGGAGGATTAGTAATCCGGAGATACGTGTAATTGCCTGCAGGTTTCCGGGCGAATGCCATCGAGGCTGTTCTCGTTCATGAATCCCCTCGCCGTGGAGATTTGGTTATCCATGCTGGGCGCTTACGTGATGGTCTCCATAACGATTTGGATAGTGGCGAGATTCTCGCCTTACGAATGGGTCGAACCGACACCCTGCCCGAGCTGCAAATGCCCGCTACAGGTAGGCTCTCGTCGGGTGGTGCTAATCGACCGTGCAACCGAATCCTTGGAACGAATCCACCAAATCTTCGCGAAGAATTAGATTGTCATACATTCGTATCTCGATGTGCGGCGCGTCGTTGCAGATATACGAAAAACCGTTCAAGTTGTCAGTGTTGTTGCGTGACATCGGTAACTAATTGCGCGACATCGTTGTGACATTTGTAGAAACACGTACGAGTTTCAAAAGTTTAAATTTCTTGTTGAAATTCTCAAAGAAGTCCCAAGTGTGTGTTTTGCATCTCACGAAAGTATTCGAACGCTTATAGAATTATAGAATTTCTATCTATAATAACATTTTGAAATTTCATTGTGTTCACTTCCCGCCAAATTTGTCCCTTTTTGTTTCATGTAATAAATACGATAGGACATAACATGAGCATGAATTTTATTTCATTATAACGAGAGACACATTATGATTTTATTGACGAAAATACGAAACCAGTTTGGAAATGTCTATCTATAATATCTACTGGAAAACATGTACATTTCATTAAATGAAATATACGTCACTCGATCCCCATAATACCATACAACTCCAATCTTTAATTAACATGTCTTTAAGCGTAATAAACGATATTCATTTTAAATAATAAATCGTAATGCGTATGTGATACATTACGTATCACTGAGAAGCGTTCGGACATTTTCCACGAGCAACACTATTGACAAACGTCGCGTGTATCGATATCCACGACCGGTTTTCGATTGCTCGGTTGAACATTAGCTGGTTAGGGATAGCCTGTGTGTAATTGTCCTTGAAATTTCGCACCACTTGGCGGGGGTCCCGATGTCATCAGGGTGGTCACGTGAGCGCGTTGGATCCTGACAGCGACGACATTCCTCTACCGAGAACGGTCAACGAGTTTACCCTGGCCAACAGCTTCTGGTTTACGGTCGGCACGCTTATGCAACAGGGCAGCGACCTCAACCCCAAGGTAAACGTGTCACCGCAGAGTCGGCAACAGTTACTCGAACAAACAAAACCTTCGAAACACACCGTCGCGGCGGGAAGCTCGTTGGATCCTCCACGTATTCGTCCGTCATTTTCCATTCTATGAATGTGAAACACACTCGCGCGCGAATCGTCACGAAAGTGGTCATTATTCAACAATCAGTCGCGGTTTGATTATAAAATTTTCGTTCTTACTGGGGTAACAACGAAATTCTTACAGCAGCATTTTTAACGAAAATAATTAGTTGCACAGTCATCAAAAGTGGCGAATGAACGTTTGATTCTACGAAATGCAACTAACAAAAATTACGGACCAAATTATTATCTCGTACGAGACGACTGACACAGAATTCACGATCAACGCGATGACGCAAATTTAGCGTATTTTAAACTAAAAAAAGAACGTCGAAAGAGAATATTACGCAGCAGTAAACTTGTATCACGCAACAACATTAAACGTGGCTATTTAAAACGACCACATGGAATACGCGGTACTGTCATAAAAGTCGGAAGGGTGCAAATGTATCCGCACTTTTAACTGCATGCTTAGAACCGCGCCACTGTTGGCAAAGCTTGGTTTTATTTGTCAAACAATTACAGGGAGGACGTTACGTTTGTCTTTGCACCTTTGTTTGCTGGTTTTTCCTGTTTCGTCTTACTCTCGGTCCTTTATTTTCTTCTCGCGTTTGTCCCCGGAAGCACTGTTTTTCATTGTTGTTTTTTTAATCGAAACAGCGACGCACTTTGACGCGAATGTGAGAAATTTCGTAGCCCCTTTTTTTAGTCTGAGAATTTGCCACGTCACTTTGATTCGATGTACGTAATAAATTATTTAGATGAATCCTGAAGGTATCGTTAAGAAAATATTTCGGAAAAACCACGAAAATGAACGAAAATTTAACACATGCGTCGATTGTTACGTAATAATATCCAAAAATAAATTTTATCACACTATAGCACTCATGTAATTTCTCAAACAAACAATCTTTTTACATTTATAATTTTGCAAATATAAAATTATCCCGTATGTTTGGCAAATCTGGCAGACTTTTGCAGAATCACTTCCCTGGGATACTTGGTGTACAAATTAAATTTCTTTGTATTCCCTCGAGCTAATAAAAGCCAGGCCCGTGAAACGCGACAACACGAGGACAAAGAGTTTAAAATCCCGTATCTATCTAACTTTTCGCCAACGTGTTTCCAAGAATCGTGAAAGCGAGTGAGTCTCATTTTTCGAAAAGTTTCAAAGGAACGCGAGGATGATCCATCAAACGTGCGCTACGAAACGAGACCAGGTCCAACGAGCTTGCCTATTTAACGAACGAGAAACCACGTACAAAGCGTTGAAATGTTTCAAGCACCATATGAGTACATGTGTGACGCTAAAAGCTAGACAACGGGATCAAGAAGCAGATACGTTTCATTTAGATAATTGGTGGATAAAACCACGTGAGGAACGCACACCGACTCTATTTTTCTGCTACGCTTTTCAACATTAGCTGCACGTTGAAAACATTATTAGGTTGTTGCACGTGAAATGGGGGATTTTGCAAGCGTGTGTATTCGTTCAAAGTTTCGTGATTGAAAATATTGTGATTTATTGTTTTATTATGAAATTTATTATTGTGATTGTTTCATTGTAAAAAGTTAGATTGACTTACTTTTATATAAAACCTAGTACTTATTTTTATATAAGTCAAATAAGAGTTACTGTACTAACAAGAATTCTAACAAAGTTACATCAGGGAACAGACAATCTATCACGTCTATCAAAAAATACAAACATAAACGATGAAATTTGGAAAATTTGTGAAAACTGAATAAACAACGAAATGGATTACGAAATTATCAATTATAGACTTCATAGATTTCAAATGTGAATAATTGTAACGAAATGAACAAAATTGACAACAATGATCGAACTAAAGATTTTAATCGAAAGATTGAAGTCGAAATGCATGATAGAAATTTAGTTAAATATTATCCCGAAGGAAACCGTACTCGTAGATATTGGAACTTACGCTTCAAATTGCGCTCGTCATTTCACTTGCAACAACCAAATAGAAGAGAAAGTGCCTGGTTCACCCTAGCGATATCACACCGAATTATCGGAAAGCGCAAGATCTTAATCAGACGAAAGATCTCTTCTCATTGGCACAAGAATTAGAACAATCTAAGGCAAAATTGTCTGGCAAATTTGTTCCCGAGATAGATGAACACGGCGGGGAATCTCGATAGAGGCAGAACGATCGAGTATCGAGAGATCGCATGTCACCCCTGCATGCACATAGCAAGCCAAGCACCTTGACATTTCGTCCGCCTCATTTTCGTCGTATCATCCCCGCTGACAGCTTCTCTCCACTCCTCCCGTGTTAGTCCGACTAAATCCAACGACATTCCCCGGGCTAGAACTCGGTTTCTCACGAGTCGGGAAGTTTCTCTTGTTCTGGTCCATTCGCGCGCGCGGACTTAGGAAAATTTCTATCCGTGATCCTCGGTCGCGAATGAAAGAATCCTTTCTCTTTCTCATTCTCTCTCTCTCTCTAGGAGAGAGCTTCCTCTCGTGCAAAAAGTTTCAACGCGTCGTGCAAGTAGTTTCGCATCGAATTCGACCGGCGAACTCCTCCTGCTCGAGATTTCTGTGCTGGAAGATCCTCGTTTCTAACCCGTGCACGAAATTTCTGTAGGATTCTGGAAGATTGCATAACGAAAAAATGTTCGATGGCGGTGGACAGACGATAAAATCGCGAACAATGCTCTTTAGTCATGTGTTTTTTTATGGCGATCGCGTTTCGATTGATTCGACGCGCGTGAATTTCATAAAAATGGGCCAGGACACCAGGAATGGGACTGCATGTGATAATTATTAAATTATAAAAAGTATTCGCGGTAGATTGAAATGCTTCATAGAACGTAGATTGGAAATTTCCTTCGAGTTCAACTAGACTGCGGATTTTTATGCAAAGTTACAAAATACACTGTATATGCGAATGATGTATACAGTCTATAAGTAACAATATACAAATATAACGGATGAACTGTTAATTATGTTGACAAATGTTTCGAAAGAAACTTGTTCTGTTTCAACGCAGAAGTTATTTGATCTAATTAATTAGCTTGTAAGTGATGGTCATTTAACGTTTCCAAATGGAATCATATATATTTTATATTTTATAGTTTAGCGGACATTTTGATTTTAATTTTGTAATCCTGCATACGGTCTTGAAACTTGAAATTAAAACAGCTATTATAGCATCAAATATTACATGAGTCTTCTTGAGAAAAATGCACGTCATCTTCGTATGACTTCTACACGTACATACACTCGCACAAATGGTAGTCATATATCTTATAACAAATCTCAAATACTACTACTACTCTCTATCAATAACATACACCAACTAAATAATAAATTAATTAATATATAATACAAATAATAATTAATAGTTTCGATGATGTTTCATCTTCCAATCTTAACTCAAATATATGAAATATTCAAACAATATTAAATAAACTTCCACTTAGCATTTCTTTACTCACATTCCGAGAAGTATAAGAAACGCATAAAAGTCCAGAATCTAGTAATAACTGCGTACACGATTCACGATGCGTTCAATTTATCACCCGGCAGTAATTTCGAACTGCTAAGTAATTACGGTAAAGCGATAACAGCAACTCGAGTAATTGCACACGAGATTCATTTTAGAAAACCATTTTTCACCCCTACTCCCCCCCCCCCCTCCTATCTCCACGCTCGAGCTAGTAAGAAAGAAATCCAATTTGCTTCGAATTACACGCACTTAGAGATTGTTCGCATTACCAAAGGTGTATGTACGTACGTACATACACACGTACGTACACGCTGCACGCTCCTATCCACCGAATTGAATCTTCCTCGTGGCCACAGACACGCGTAATACCTCCACGAGAGGTGAAAATTGTTTCTAACGAGGAACACCTGTACGACATATGGTGCTAGCCGGCTCACGGTGGCATGTGTGTACATGCGGGGTTGTCGTTGTGCGATGCTCGCGCGGTTTCTACGATCCTGCGTGGCTGCGAGCTCGAAGGATCGGAGATATCCGCGTGAAAGAAAGATTCGAGCGTACTCGAGCGACCGCGATCCTCTTTCCTTTCACCGAAAATACAACGAGAGGACGTCGCGCGGTCATCGCGAGAATTCCTCCCGCTGGAGGAACTTATATCGTTCGGGAGATTTTATACGACGAGAGGGAAAACACAGAGCAGAGACAGTGATTCCTCGAACAACGCGTTGATACTCGCCTCGACAATGCCGGGCGATATGAATAAATATCAAGAGAGACGGGCAATTCCTTTCCTGCTGCGGTGGGTACAGTGAAACCAGCCATTTCTATTCCACTTTTCTCTCTCTCTCTCTCTCTCTCTCTCTCTCTCTCTCTCTCTCTCTATCTATCTATCTATCTATCGCGTTAATACCAAGGAAGGCTTTCGCAAATATTTCTAGAGGCATTCTTTTAAGCACGAGACTGCTATTTTTGGGTTTGTGTATTTTTAAGAATTGTGGCTAGAGAATATTGCACGAAATTATAAACTATTCTCGCGGAAATTCTTGAACGGTATTCGTTATGAAATCTGGTTATTACGGCCAGGTTGATAGAATCTGAAATCAATTTGGAATGTACGGCCTCGAGTTTGAAGAATAAACTTCATACTCGAGAATTAAACAGATACATGAATTTGTACACGTTTTAATCACTCTTTGTAGCAATAAAACCGCTGGTGATCGCTACGGTCAACGTGTCAACATGTTAATATAACGAATGTGATCGATTGTTCAAATATTCCCGACATCTCTGCTAATTATCTTTCTACACATACCAACAAATTTATTTCGAATTTAACCAATATAATCACGATAGCCGAATTTCACAACACTGCTAATTAAACTTCGACACGATCCGCATAATACGTATTCATAAAATACATTCTTCAAATACTTTTGCGAGACTGCATATTCGATCGCGAACTGATTGATTGTATAATGGTTGTCCAATTAATTGGGTATTAAATTTCGTATATTATAAGATTTTAGGATTTAGTACTCTTCTACTAGAAGAATAGAGAAATTTAATGCTATGAAAATGAAACGTAAAACCTGCTGATAATGTATGCAACTAGCTCTTACACTTAGCTACCTCATGATAGCTCGAGTAACGTCTTTCACATCGCGAATGTAGAGCAAGAGGAATTATTCAGAGATGTCTCGAGACCCGATAATCGCTTTCGTAATCGACTTGATCCCGCGGCTAATGGATCGAAATATGCCATTAGCGGGTTCAGGAGGGCGCAAATGAGACCGCATATTGCATTCTTCAAGCGGAGACGCGCGCATAAAGCTCTTAAATCGTCCCCTCCCGACCTCGATGCTCCACTCACGTGGTTTCAATTGATCGTCACGGCTCTTCACAGGCTTCCAGTCACGGAGATGCGATATCGAGGCGACATTCGTGAAGAAAACTGATTGCCAAACGCAAACGCCAGCCCTTTCCGTACAATATTTCGTTCGAAACATTTCCTCGCGTATATAATTGACGAACTTTCGAGTCTTTCAGCCTTTTCAATCTATTTCTCAGAGAACCTTATACGTTAATACATTTACTTGATCTTTTAATAATCGAACACTTGATATAATCTTAATAGATTTTTTAGAGAATTCACAATTTTTAGGGAACTCTGGTTTGTAGTTTTTCATTTTGCAAAATAAATTTTTTCTCTTTCTTCTTATCAAGCAAACAATATACCAAATATTACCTCAGTACAATACAATAGAGCTTATGAAATGATGTGATATGGAATTTGAAGAATTTGAAGTGAGAATAGATCTTGATAATCAATTCGGGCGAAAAGACAGTGATTTAATAAATAAAATTACTGAGGAGCTACATTGTGGTAATATTTGCGGAATTCTCCATTTAAAGATCCACAAACATCGTGAAAAGATCGTCGAATAATAGCAGTCTCGTAACAAGCGTTCCGAAATATCCATTTGTAGACTCGTTTCCAAAGAATAGTGAGAGAAATTGGCTAATAACGGCTTGTTGTTTCGCTGTTTCCAACTCGGCCGCGGTAGTTAAAGGGTTGCAATTTTCAGCGGCTCGAACGATTTCCGGGAAGGAATTGCCCGCGTAAGAGGGGGAGGGGGGGGGGGGAGGAACGATCTTCCTTTATGTAAGGTATCGATCGTCATTATCAGGCAACCAGCACGAGAATCGTCGGTGGAATCTGGTGGTTCTTCACGTTGATCATCATCTCCTCTTACACGGCCAACTTGGCCGCGTTCCTCACCGTCGAGAGAATGATCACGCCGATCGAGAACGCGGCCGATCTCGCGGAACAAACACAAATCTCCTACGGAACTCTCGAAGGCGGAAGCACGATGACATTTTTCAGAGTAAGTATCAACGATTGCTATATCGTTTAAAAACTTGTCCCTGCAGTCGCGGGTAATTATCAGATTTTTCTGCAAATAATTTATCATTCCTAAATACAATTCAATATCTGTTATATATATGTATCAAATATTTTTTTATAATTAAAATAGCGTAATTCTAATAGTAATTTTATTTTCGTGTAATTCTATGTAGGTTGTGATTAATCTCAACATTAGGATCTAGGATTTTCATTTACACAATGGTTATTTTGTAACCTTCTCGATGGACATTTTAATGGACATGGATCCCGCATTTTATATTCGTGATTTGTTCGATATGTAATCGTAAAGCATCAGTTCGTAATTCGAGATTATCACGATGCATAGTATTCGTACCGAATTTACACATTGAATCCTATTGTTCGTTACTATTACTGCAGATTTTGGTACCAGGAAAACGGAATAATTTGAAAGAAACATCGCTCCTCTGCAATTCACACTCTTGGAAAGAAATATATACAATATCGACCAAAAGTTTGGAAACACGTTCGGTGTGTCAAATATACAGTGTGTATTATTCTTATATCATTACATATTTCTAATATCAATTGTGATATTAGATTTAATTTTCTTACTTTTAGAATATTTTAGTATTTAATATTTATTATAAATTTTTGGCCTGTACGAAAATGAAAGAAAATGAACAAACCGTGTTTTAACAGTGTGATTGACTAATTCAAATTAAATTTCTTTTCCAACATTCAAAAGATAGTTGTACAATAATTTAAAAACGAAAAAAAAGAAAAAAGACGATATACATCACGATATCGGATCTTCTTTCACGAAAAATCAACGTTGATGTACGTCTCGAATTTGCAAAGCAGGAACAGACGAATAACATCAAATTCGAATTTTTCCAATCACAGGATTCAAAGATCGGGATATACAAGAAGATGTGGGAGTTCATGGAGACGAAATCGCCATCGGTGTTCGTGAAGAGCTACGAAGATGGTGTGAAAAGGGTACTTGAGGGCGATTACGCCTTTCTAATGGAATCCACCATGCTCGATTACGCTGTACAACGCGATTGCAATCTCACGCAAATTGGCGGCCTGTTAGACAGTAAAGGCTACGGAATTGCCACCCCGAAAGGTAATATCGAGGAATAATCGAAGCTTATCCCACTATTCGACTTTCTCACGAATCTCAATTTTTCTATCTTTCTCACGCTTGCGGAATAACTTGCTCTCCATCGAGAACGAAAAAGAAAGACAGAATATTCTCGACAATGCTTGCTAAATAATAATAACACGCCTTCTTCCCAAGGGAATAATCAATCCACGATTATTTACTTATCGTTAAAAAAGATTTCATGCTCGTTCGCGATTCCCCCATTTTTTCCCCCTAATTTTTATTTTTCTCCCACATTTACAAGAGAATTTACCGCTACGTCCACTTTCCGCGGAAGAGAAAAGATTCTTGAGGAAGCTCGCTAAAGAATAACGTCCTTCCTCCCCCGGGGGATTAATTAATTCACGATTGCTTATTTAGAAAACACTTTGCATCCGCTCGGTTGCACAAAGCGAGCGAGCTGCTCCGCACGTGATAAAACCTCTCTCAAAGCGTTTATCTCCGCGAAAATTACACTTCCTCCTTTTGCCGGACGTTTTGTACCCGCGTTTAATATGCCACAGTCTTAATTAACGTGCATACACGCGCCGTGTGAATAGAGAGAACAAGTTTCAGGAAGCGGTCGATGCTCGGGCGCGAGTTTTCCACGGGTGTCGAGCGTTTCACTTTCACGATACAATAACCTGTTTGATAGCTTTCTTGCAGCGTGTATATCAGAGAGCTTGGCGCGAGAAAACTTGCTGAGCGGCGAAACAACGCGCGTAAATATCTGCCGGCGTTACTTCGCTACGTGAATGATTGCCAGAGAATTTAATGGCACACGAGGCGAAGGACGTTACGTGGCAAACATCGTAAACCTCGCGGATTTGTAGTTCCTTTCGGGGAGGAAGTCTCGTACTCAAACAACCTCGAAACAAAAAGAAACTAGACGCGCGTAAGAAGCTAAAAATGTAACTATTTTTCGAAAGTATCTCGCGACGAGTAATTATTCATAGATATTTCAAGAGACTGATCGTGAGTCGTTCGTGTATTGAAATTTTACAAGTGACACAATACGTACGCAATACGTGGTACATGATACAAATCAGAAGATACAAGTCCAATTTGTTTTAAATTTATTACTGATTTTAATTCTTTAATGCGTTATACTTTTGCGGTTTGGTTACCACACGTATTTATTTGTAAAAGTAGGATTAACATACAATTCCGAGCTTATTATCCTACATAGATGCACATTTTATTTCCTTTTCTTCGGGTGCACACATAATTAATGATTTTGCAAAGTTCGGTGTTTACAAAGTTTGAAATTCAACGAATTCACGTGGCTGTATTCAGTGAGTTTCAAACATCGTAAACATTGAATTTTGCATGTTGCGAAATTATAAATTAAAATTTCACGCCCTTGCGTATCACGTAATTCTCGCGAAATGATAATTTAAAATTTCAAATCCTTACGTATCACGTAATTCTTTACGCGTGCTTGCGAAATACTTTCGAGGATCCAACCCGATCTGTTTCGAAATTCGCGACAATGTTCGCTGTTCGCGGATTCTCGCCGCGGAACAACGGCTTAATTAACGAGTCGAAACGCCCGGTCCGAGCTTCAAACCCGTGTAACTGAGTTTCTCGGCCCCGCGAACCCGAGCTGAAAGCTCGCGCGGAGACTCGACCAAGACTGTCGTGGAAGCTGAGCAATTTCCCTAATTGGACTAACGTGTCTGTATTTGAGCTCGCTCTCTCGTGCTCTCGTCTCGCGCTCCTCCTCTTAATAACGAATCGCCGGTCGCGCGACAAAAATCCCCGGGATTTTTCTTTCGCGAAGCTGCGAGCCAGGGAGCGAGGAACGTCTTCCGGGTTCAAGGAGAGCGATTCGCAAGCACAAAGAGACCTACCAGGGAAGATCTAGTAGCTCTCCGTGCCTGGAGGGACTACGAGGAAGGACGAGACCCGCGCGCCGGTGCAATTGCACGTTTCTCTCTCGAGTCGGGAGAGTCGAGTCGTTTCAAAGATCTCAGAGATCGCCGGTCTTCTTGACCAACCTAACGAAGAACGCTTTACATCGCAGGCTCGCCCTGGAGGGACAAAATATCGCTGGCGATTCTCGAGCTGCAGGAGAAGGGCGTGATACAAATTCTGTACGACAAGTGGTGGAAGAACACCGGCGACGTGTGCAACAGGGACGAAAAGAGCAAGGAGAACAAGGCGAACGCGCTCGGAGTGGAGAATATCGGTGAGCTTCGCGCGAAAATCAGTCTTGATAGCCTTTTATTATCCTCCTTGGCCAGGGAGAACAAGTTTAGCTAACGAATTAACGCTAGACTTACCAGAGTTAAAATGAACACTTGAATTCAACTGATACTTTGAGAGTTGCCGATTCGATTAAATCCTTGAGAATTTTGCGACCCAAACTTGTTTTCACTGTGTTTTTACCCTTAGAGAGAAGAGTGAGATCGCGAGAGAGGTTAGGCGCGTAATTTATCGCTAGAGGCAGAGAAGAGACGGAGGGAACTTTATCTGACTTTAAGGTAGGAAATATCGCGTGAAGGGCTGTAATTTTTACTCGAAAGTTGTCAGTGCTGCGCCCTGATGATAAAAAGTTTTATTATTTACCTTTACTGCGAGTCTCATTAAGGATGAGGAATTAGGAAAAATACAGTTGAGGCATCGCGCGGAACGTTTACTCCAAACTTGATAACAAAATGTTTCATTATTTTTACTACAAGTCTAATCGTACTTGTTCAAAGTTGTCAGTAATGACGTTATATTGTTAAAAGGTTTCGTTACCGATTTTCACGTTATTTATTCGGGAAGAACAGGCAAGAAGTTACCGGGGAGAATAATTTCACGCGGAATGCAGTCTAAAAAATTTGCGTAGAATTTTCAAAGCGAATTGTGTTAATTAAACGCGAAATGGCGAAACAGTGCCGTCAATGTTATCGGCGTGAAACAGCTGTCTAATTTCAGAACGAGCTGGTCCAGACGAATTTGTTTCGTCGAAATAAATTGCATACCCTCCGTGAAACATCCACATTAGCCAACAGAAACGTAATTATAAAACAATACGAGAAAATTGAATCTGCTTGATCTCTCTCCTTCTCTCTTTCTTTCTCTCTATCAAAGTACGATAATTATGACTGTTTTGAATAAATCGCAAGAACGATCGTATCGAGAAATCGAAGCGTACGATATAATATACAGATCAGGAGAGAAGATGTGGTGCAGAATTTTCCTGGAAATTTGAATGATTGAGTATCGTACGATCCAAATCGCGCCCATAATTACACCGTGTAATTTACGGCCGTAAATGAGGTCGATGAAACGCACACGTGAACAGTAGCGTCGAAATCATTAGATTCGTTCCGATCGTTTCTGCATCCAGTGCACTGTATAACTAACTTCATTTGTGGGCTTTCGGCGAGCATGTCAGGTTACATAATCAACTACGGATGGATTTCAATAGTAGACTATGGCACGATTACGTAACACATCATTTTCAGTTTACCGAAACGCGTGTGCAAAGCTCGAAGAACGTAACTACATCGGTGGCTGTAGGTTTCGTAAATTCTTATTGCAGTCATTAACACAAGAATGAACACAATAACAAATATTTTGGACAATTAACCACTTTTTTTTTTATAACATCGAGTCACCCTCGTAGTATGAATTGTGATTTAGATTTGAAAAATAAAGTAAAATCCTACGAAATTTTAAACTTGAGTTCCTCGACGATCATACACAATTCCAGTACTTTACATCTTGCAAAGAAACAAATTACACTAACTAATCCTTATCCAGCAAAATCGTGAAGAATTTAACAGATATGAGAAATCATTTATTATGTTTAAGTTACACTGTCCACTGTATTAATTTAAAAGCAAGAGAATCCTATTTGTTTTTATTTGCATAGAGGAGAGTGAAGAAACACACTTGTTTTGATGCGAAATTTCGGTTCATTAATCGCGGACACTTCACACAATAAACGCCGACAAAGAAAGTAAAAGAGCAAAGGTGGTGCAGTTGAGGTCATGGAATGCTTTCAAGCTCGGAGAAATCTCGCAAGAAGTTCGCCGGGAATTTTTCTTGGACGTCCCGTAGAACCCTTTCCGGATTTTATGGAAGTAACAACAAGTTCTCCCTTTCTATCTTACCTCGCTGTATCCCTTCTATATTTTTTCCTTTTTCTTTCTCTCTCTCTCTCTCTCTCTCTCTCTCTCTCTCTCGTCTGGTCGAGAATCTCTTCCATTCTTTCTCTCCTTTTTCTCGTCTCGCCCTCTGTCGCTGACTAGTCTCTAACTTAGGTAAGTAGCCACTTTGCCAGCAGCGTGAACGTACTCGCCGAGACGGAAAGAAGGATGAACAACTCCTGCGGACAGTGTGAAATTTCAGTCGAACCTCTGCGAATCGCTTTTCCACTAAACAGGTCGATTATTTGTTGGAACGAGGGAAGAAAGGGAGAGACGGAGGGGTGTCGAATTACGAGCTTCGTTTGGAGGAATTGTACTTTAACTTTAAATCTTTCTTTTCTCTTTTGAAACGTTTGATGAGTTTTATATTTATACCTTTACGGACGTTCACACAAATACAGATTTTTGTGAAATTCCGGAGAGAAACATTTATTTTCTAAATATAATAGATTTTCTAAATATAATATATGTTCTCGCAATTTATACACAGTGACGAACGAAAGAAAATTAAGAGGATAGGTAGAACCACATTTTTAAAATATAGAATTACGTGTTCAATAAGAGCAGCGAATAAATATGAAATATATTTGAGAATAGATCACTGTTACCAATATGGCAAAATAATAAATTACTAACGCTAATACTGTCCTCTCATACAATTCTGAAAATTTATTTTATAAATTATATAAATTTCGTAAATTTTGCAAATGTCATCTGTATATCGTACACATTTTTGCAATCTTATATTTCCCATAAATCACATGAACATCCGGAGTTTAAAGATTGATGGAAAAATGACGCAAGTGCATTGCCCTTTGAAAACAAGATAAATATAACAAATAATATCTATATTTTCATAAATTACTGAATTACTTACTTAACGATTTACAAATCACGAATGAATTTACAAGCCATCATGAATAAATCTCATATGATAATAAATCTCAATGGTTAGATGCATAAAAAGGAGAACTATAGATCTCATCACTTGCGTAACTTTCGTTATCAAAGATTTATAATGTGACTAAAGATTTCTTTGTTGAAACAAATCGTTAACTATAGACTTTTCTCTCGAGTTCTAAATTCTTGATACGCGATTTCAAAAGTATTTATAAATGCAATATTCAAACCAATGGTAGTAATAAAACGGACAAGGAATAATAATTAAACTGTGGGCAAGATTATTCAAAGTAATCAGAACTACTGTGTAAACGCAGTGACTAGCTAAATATAAATGCCCTATTTCTACTAATTGCACGGCATGAAATTGCGTTTCAGTTTCTTCGTCCGGCGGAAAGCGTCTATGTCAAAACTCAAACGGTTTTCGACCTGGTCGACCACGAATGCAGAAATTACCAACGTGAAACGCGAACGGCGAATGTGTAATAGCCAGGTGCTGAGATGTTGAGGCGTTGTTTTCCGACTTGCCGCGAAATTAATCGCGACGAGAGGAGTTTCACTGGCGTGAAAATAGAAAACCACGCGAGAAATTTCGTTACTTCCGGCGGAATGTCGTTTAAATCATACTGTTGTGCAAATAGAGCAAGTCTGTTAAAAATCGTCGCGTTTTCGGGCCGATGACTAATGACGAGTTATGGAGCATTGCTGAAGAAAATAATACAATAAATTCATTGTCTTATTGCTCAAGAAAAAAATTGAGAATCACCTAAAAGTTTTGTCTCATTCAGTAAATGTAGTGTAATTTCATTACAATAATTTATTCCTCGATTAAATTTCCCGATTATCTTCGAAGAATATAGAATGGAACAAAAAAAATTTGAATTAGATATTATTTTACATAGTGCTCCGATGCTAGAGTACAACACTGAAAAGCAAATCGTACGAATGAAGCTCTTTAGATGAAAATAACGATGGAAAGTCGACCTAACCCAAAACTTTTCGTTAAATTTCAAGAAGAACTTGAACCCTCAAATTAGATACGTTTCGTGTTACTCTCGCGAGTTGGCGATAGAAAACCCTCCTCTCTCTCTCTCTCTCTCTCTCTTAGCGTGAATCTTTCTCTTCTCACGAAAGTTCCAAGCTAGCGTCGAAAAGAGAGTAGAACGGACTGACAAAGACGTTCGGGGCCACGGGAGCGGAGACGCGGAAAAGACGTAGGCGTAAATAACGACAGGATCGTATAGACGGGAAGCTAGACAGATGGATAGATAAATAGATAAATAGACAGGCGCGGAGAGGGCGATGAGGGGTGGAAACAACGAGGTTAGAGGGTGATAGATGGGCGGACAGATGCCAGGGGAACGGGCGAGTCCGGGCGGGCTGGCAGCTACATTAACCGTGAACCGTGCGCCCGGGCGACATCAGAAAAGAAGCAGAGACAGCCGGCGGCGATAAAATAATGAGCTTCCGGTTTTTCCCGTTTCCAGGTGGCGTCTTTGTCGTGCTGGTTTGCGGACTGGCGTTGGCTATCCTCGTCGCGGTCCTCGAGTTCTGCTGGAACTCCAAGAAGAACGCCCAATCGGACAGGGTAAGCGAGCGAAGCACCGAGATAATTGCGTGCGATTTCGTGCTTCGCGTGTATGTGCTGCATGAGTGTATTTTCCTCTTCGTCGCGTGCAAGGCCGCTCGTCTCATCGTCACTAAGCCATTTCTTCCCTCTTTTTTTTTTTTTTTTTTTTTTTTTCCTTTTTTTTTTTTTTTTTTCTTTTTCGTCGAATATGTTTCGATCAACAACGGTTATACAATGTATCGGTTTTTCAGTATTTTGATCGAACACTGTTTGTCAGCAGAACGGAAAAAAGTCACGTAGCTTTTGCTTGATTACACGCCGCGGCATAGCCGGCAGGTCTGATCACACGCGTCCTTGTTCTACTTGTTTGATTTAACACGATACCGCTCTACGTAGCGGGTTAAACATCGTCCAAACAGTTTTCGTATCAATCCGTTCGATGCACTCGCAAACAGACGAAGCATGCTAAACATCACACCCGAGAGCCATATCGTGTGTCCTCCATAGTATAGCCAATCGAAGAGCAAACGATTAAGAGACGCGCCGCAGATTTAACGCGCAAAGAATTACTTGTGTCGCGAGATACAAGATATTTAAGAATTCTTATAGTCACTTTGAACATCAACGCACAATAAAATTAATATCGGAGCTCTTACACGTGTATCCAAGTATTCGAACACTGATTCAATTTAGATCCGAGTATTGGAATGCTTACTGGGTTTAAATCCGAATTTAGGCACATATATTAATATATGGATGTACGAATATTGTAAATGTTCGTTGTAATTCGTATACAATACTTGACTTCGAGATCCAAATATCTGAGTTCGTGAATATCCATTTAAATACAGATTATTCAAAACCAAAATTGGATACTCGGATCTGAATCCCATATCATTTGAAACCAATATTTAGAAAATTTCTCTAAACACGAGCAAGTAAGACACGCTAATTCTTAATAGAAGGTACAAGACCGCGGAGAAGTTCTATCGATGATAAAAAAAGATTAACTGTAAAGCGTCAAACTCACGTTTCGCTCCGCACGACGCAAAATTCTATAAAATGTTAGATTCACGGCGCACCTCATCCACCACCCCTCGATTCGATCACTATTCTTCGAGTCAATGAGTAAGTAAAGAAATCATGACAGGGAAAACGATGTAAGCGATTCACGATTGAAAATTCACGCGAGGGAAAGCGGCCTGGCACGCTTGAGAGGGATTGCATGGTATCGAGCTCGTGGTACGATCGTCTTTCTGTATCATTTGTTGGTATTGTTGTGCCTGTTCTCTGCCGGCCCCTGTCCATGCGTCGGCGGCAAAAACGAAAACAAAAAAACACGTCGAAACGGAAACGCCGCGGCACGGCAGTCCTTGTGCGCCGAGATGGCCTCGGAATTGCGGTTCGCCATGCGGTGCGGCTCGCGGCAGAGACCAACCGCGAAGGCGCGCAATTCCGACGCCGCGGTGCCCTGCGACCGTTGCAGCCCGCGTGCCACCAGGAGGAGAACGCGATATTGCTCGACTGGCCACGAGGAGACCACCTACATTCCGAGCATCGAGATACCACGGTTAAATGGTGTAAGTCCTGTCCCTCACGACGGGCTCGCGACGATGGCCTCTCTTTCAATTTCTCTCTCTCTCTCTCTCTCTCTCTCTCTCTCTCTCTCTCTCTCTCTCTCTCTCTTTCTCTCGGCGATCGAAGCGAAAAGCCGNCGCGACGATGGCCTCTCTTTCACTTTCTCTCTCTCTCTCTCTCTCTCTCTCTCTCTCTCTCTCTCTCTCTCTCTCTCTCTTTTCCTCCTTTAACTCTCTTTGTTATTACAAACTCTCTGACAGAGAAAATTTCGATCAAACGTGCATTTTGAGCATTCGAAGGTATTCAAAAGCACTGAGGTCTCTTTTGCATTTAATAAATATTGTCAATTTTACTTTTCCATATATTTTGAACAAACAGAACAGTATTCTTTTTATTTAGCTTTGGAAACCTCATTTACGAGGTTTGTTACAGCTGAAATATATTTAAATAATTATAAAATATATAAATTCTTCACAAATGCACGAAAACCCGCAGTTTAGCGATTTGAAATGATAGCTGGCTCGAACGATTCTTTTACACCGTACTTTCACGTGTCCTACCGTAAAGTCGATTTACAAGAGATTCCCTCGCAATCGAGAAGAGAAGCCATCGGTCGAATCCGGAGCTATGCCTGATTTCACGGTAATTCAATCTCGACGAGAATAAACGTGTGACAACGTTTCTCTCAACGAGTCGTTATCAACGAGTGATTTGGCACGCACACAGCCGGATTGTTATATACGAACGCAATTTCGAGCCGCGAACCGTTCGAGAGATTCGATTGTCGTGATCGAGGCACGGTCTCCATGGAGCCCACCAACAGATCTATGCGTTTCTTTCATCACAAGCTTCGAATGAAGCGCGAGATGGGGGAGAAAAAAACGCGAGGCCACGTGATGACGCGTGAAGGGAGTATTCGCAGAAGAAAAAAAGAAAAAAGTGGGAAGTTGCTTGCGCGAAAATCTGTCCCTTGACTGTCCTTTTGTGTCTCGTTCTCATTTTCTGTCTCTTTTATATGTCTCTCTCTCTCTCTCTCTGTCTGTCTGTCTGTCTGTCTGTCTCTCTGTCTCTCTTTCTCTCTCTCTCTCTCTCTCTCTCTCTATTTTTCTCTCTCTGTGATGCTCTCTGTTAGACTCGAGTACACGTTTGTTTCACACGGACTAAATCTATTTATTTGTCCCGTGCCTCTATGTACGTGGATTACGTAAATACTTGGTGTGTTCTGCATTTTGGTACGGTCCGATGTATCTTGCTTACTACTACTACTAGCGAAACGAGCGCCGCGCGCGTTTAATCGCAACTGGGCGCGGAGCTCTCAGTCACGCACTCGCTTACACTCGCCAACTCGCTTATAACTCGCTTCGACACGGAACGCGCCCATTTCTTGTACTACGTGCGCGTTCTATAAAACTTGATTGCATGCCTCATACCGCTGTTGAACGATTGTAATACGATCGAACGCGACGGCGACGTCACTTCAAATTCGTCGTCGCGCCGGCTAAACCAATGCTCGTGCGATGCCTCGCTCGGAATCGATCGTTCTCACGTGCACTCTCGAAAGTCCATCGAGTCGGACTGAAGTCGGACAAAAGAGGATGTGAGAAAAGTCTCAACAATGGCGTCTTATTATTCGTTTTTTATGCCGTTAGACAAAAGCACACATTTCGTGACGTTCATCTGGACTTGAGTTTGAAAAGAAGCTTTTACAAAAGAACGCGTGCTATTTTGTCGAGTTAATTGATTTAATTGTTGCCGAGAGTTGGAAAAATTTTCTCTAGCTCGTTGGCTCGATAAATAAAACTAGAAGGCAAACACTGGTACTGACCAAACCAAAATGAATCGTATCCGCTCTGTATCGAGAAACGTATAAACGTGGTCAACAAATTGAGCAATTTTAAAATTCGTCTCCAACGTCCAGATTGCCATCTTCTCAATTTCCAGCTATACGTTTGCTTCGTTATTCCCTCATTCGAAATTACACCCTCTCCACGCGGGGTACAGCTTTAATAATGGAAAATTCGCCGCGCTATTTGAATATCGATACGAAGCGATAACATTAAATAACTCGTAAAATTTGATTCCGCGAGGTTGCTTGCCGTTGCAAGAGAACCATGGGGGGAGGGTGAATATCCGCTGTTCGGTACGGTTACATCGGGCGGAGAGAGAGAATAGAGTGTTCGTTAAACAACGATCGAAAGAGGACACGTAGCCGAGGCGGAACGACTAGCCGTCCTCGAAAACTCGTGTGAATGGTTCTTCTGATCGTGTCGGAAGTGATTTTTCGAAGCTACGTCGCACTTTCCGAGCTCGTTTCCGTGTAACCGGCTGGCAAGTCCTCAGGATATTCCGAAACGTGCGCACGATCAGGACCACCAGGAAGGAACGTCGATCGTCCATATTCTTTCACCCCCCCAAAAAAAAGAAAAAGAAAAAGAAAAAAAACGAGGGACAGATCGAACGGAAATTTTTCAAATCAGTTTCTCCCGTTTCCTTGCCATCAGACCACTTCCACAAACGGAAATTTTTCACTGTTAATTGGCTCGAGTATCGGAAAAGTTGCGTAACAGTGGTTATATCGAGTTCAATTAAATCAGGACGAAATTACGGGCGCGCCAATGTCCGACCGGAAATTACACAGGGAGCGCAAGTTTCTGTTGCCTTGATTTGAAAATTAAGCTGGAAAATTTTCCCTCGCTCGACGTTCGATCGAACTCGAGACAGATACCCCGCGAGACTCGTTACTCAGAGCCGGAGTTTAATCGCAATTTCAACGAGAAAGAGGATCGGCGAATCGATGGAGTCTCGTCGGCGAGTTCCACCGTTCGAGGAGTATGACCGAATCGGATTTTCCAGTTTTCCCAGCGAATGGAAGGAGAGCTCTTCGGTCTCGAATTTCGAATTCTACTTTCGATACTTTAATCCGCGACGCGGCATCGATGCCTATCGATGCGGTATAATCCACGAAGAATATTTATCGCGATCCGCCCGTCTCATCCAGCAATTCGATACACAGGCAAACGAGTTTGAATATAGATCAGTGCTTCTCAATAAATATAGTGCGATTTTTCTGGGCAAAGAGTGATTAGAGACTTAGAGTACGGGGTTTTTTTTTTCAATCGTTTTTTATCAGACTCTGTTCTATTCTGATAGTTTAATCCGAGAGACTACTGATGCTCTGAATCTCGTTTAACGATACAACTATCAGTTATATCAATGCAAGTAAAAATGAAATTGATACAACATTAAACGTAAAATGTGCAGTAAAAAAAGTAAATCAACAATGAGGAGAATTAACTGTAATTATCATTCTGTAAACTCTGGCTATTGAATTAGGATCAGTTAGCTAGAAACGCAAACTATTAACGCTGTGTATATTTTATTATTTATTGTTTGCACAATATTTATGTATGGGTATAATCAATACATTGACGATGATGTTTATTAATAATTACGGCGTTAAAAACTTGTCGAAGATCGTGAAGAACTATATAAATAAAAAGTTGTGTTTTTTATTAATTCTATAATTGTATTATACTACAGAGATATTTTTCTTTGTTTTTTTATCAAATTTATCCCACAAATATACCACACTATATACTTGTTTGTTTCATAAATGCAGAAAGCGAAAGTGAAATTAAAATTACAATTTCATCTCGAACATCATCATCGTTTAATTCACCACTCGTCACCACTATCTTTCAAATTGTCTATCAAATTTTATTAACTATTAAATTGTCAAAAACTGTGAGTAGTCCTATTTCTATGGCCAAGAGCTGCACATTTATACATAAACCGATTAAAAGTGCGGGAAATTTCGTTTCGAACTTTTGCAAGTACCTACAGTGCAGAATAAAGTGACAGAAAGTTCACTTTTGCACTTTAGTGTCTCTCGTAAAAATTGTTCCAGCGCTTGAAAGCGATTCAGGAGTGCCGTTAGCAATTCAGAAGCAAGTCAAAATAGTTTTAAAACATTCGAGCGGAAAAATATTCGATTCCGAACCATTTCGATTCTCCGCACGTATCCGATTAAACTGAATGTTCTAGAATTTCGAAAAAAAAGGATTGAAAAGCGGTATTTCCGAGTACAAAAGCACCGGAATCGTATCCGAAAATTCGAACTGAAAAATGGCGTGTCAAGCCTCGCGATTTCGCAGGCTTGCTTCTCTGTTCAGCAAAACCGAAATGTTTCGAAACATTGTTGCTTCCGTTCCGGAAGCGCGAACCTCGGTTTCGTGAAATCGATGGTCCGCGTTTCGCGCGACTCGTCCCCTCGTTCCGGAACGTATCTGTCTGCAAAAAGCGAGGGAAAAAAGAAAGAAGGAAGGAAAAAGAAAAAAAAGGGGATCTATCATATATGCGGCCGCAACTTCGCGAGAGACCCTGTCACCTTTGTCCGCCGATATTTCATCGAATTTCGATTCTTACCCGTGTATACGTATTTTCGCAAGTAAATTCTCTATTCGAGGGGGTCGCAGCTGGACGTTGGTCGCTCAAATCGATATACAGGGACAGATTTCGTAAATCTCGTGGAGAAATTCAAGCGCCAGAGACGAACGGAGAAACGGAGAGAAAGCACGTACGCACGCGGCGAATCTCTCTCATTCTCTCTCTCTCTCTCTCAGAGACGATTCCAGATAGAAAAACTCGTTGGAAAACAAGGCGAGGACCTGTGACGCATCGAGCGATACCGACACGCAGGCTCGTGCGAAGCGGAGACAGCTCCTTCGCGAGTTACGAAAAAAGTTAAAACAAGTTTTAACGAGGCCTGGCAACTTTTAATAATTCGCCCGCTCGCGGCTATGAGACGTAGAGAACTCGGGGGATGACCCGAGGAGGAGGGTTGATGGCAATCGATCACCACCCCGATATAGCTAACACCCGTTGTTTCCTATTTTCTCAGCAGGAGGGTGGTGCGTTGTCGATGACGGAGATGAAGAAATCATTGAGCTTCGATCAAGTGGCAGCGGCCCGTGGCGGGAACACCTAGCACAGGCCTCATCCTCATCTTCATCCTCAGCAGCAGCAACAGCAACAACAGCAACCGCCACCGTGCAAAGCCACGCCCACGCACACACGTCACACACACTGCCACTCACATTCACACAGCCACAGTCACAGTCATACGCACAAGCACCAACCACCCCCACCGAGGCGGAGACGGGGCTCCTCAAGCATCGTCTTGGGACAAGGTTAGTTTCCCCCGGGTCATTTACGTAACTGCCAATTTTTCTACATTTTGTGGAAAAATTTTTGCCGCCTACATAATATACGTACGTACGCGTAGAAATGTGTACAATGAAATGTGTCCAAAGCGAGCTCCCAGTTTTTTAGTCATTTCGACAGAAATATGAATTTTCAAAAACAATTCTTGTCTATTCTGATCTTCTGTCTTGAAAATATCATAAGTATTTTTTAATTATTTATTTCGATGCAATTTGTATAATTAAAAACTGTAAATTCTATTGACATTCGTCACTTTTGAAATCGATATTTTTGGTATAATTATTGTCCAATTATTGTCCACTTCATAACTGAATTTGATATAAAAATAATTTGACAAAATGTTAAGTCATAAAATTTCCCTCCGAACGAAAACCAAAGAAACATGAGTCATATCGCTTTGAAGGAAAGAAAACGCTCGAAATAAATTTGTTTTAACGATCGGACTATTTAAGAAAAGAAAGAAAACGCTGGAAAAAATTTTTTTATAACGCACAGCACATTTAAGAACAGTAAGAACGCGAAGCTATTTAGAAAAAGAAAAAACTACAAGGAAAAAATGTCTTTGACACGCAGGAGGTGACCATCCTGAGAGTATTCTCTGGAGATTCGACTGCGACCTGGCGGGTGAGCCAGACGTGGTGATATCGCCGCCACCGCCACCACCACCACCCTCGGCGGCTGTGTCGAGAACCACGACCCTTTGACCAATACTCGAGGAGGTGCCGACAGGTGTGCCCGTCCAGAAGGAGCTGCCCACCCAGGCCTCGGTGGTAGTGAACGTGGTCGACCAGAAGGAGACCTGCTTATAGCATATGTAGTCGCCGGGGCGGCTGAGTCGACCGCAACGCGGTCCGGCTTGTGCCATCGGCGACGTTGGATCATCGATCGATCAGCTATCCACGTGACGACACAACAAAATGTAGATTCGCTTAGCAAAATACGAAACAAAACAGTGGACAAGCTGCGACGTGTGCCAAAAGAAAAGAAAAAAAAAAAAAGCGGTCCATCGAGCAGTATGGATCATCTAGGAATGATCGTGACGAGGACCGTGCGACCAATAAACGAACAGACGAAGAGACGTTGATCGAGATGGAACGCGACAGAAAAATGATTCGTAATGATCGGTAATTTCAATGGGGCAGAAAACGAGACAGGATGTACATCGTACATAGTTTACTTGCGAATGAAATCGTCCCGCTGATTACAAATGAGAAATCGATTGTGGAACGAGGTGTTTGTTGCGAATGGTCGGTACTATACCGGTTCGATGCCGGTGGTGAATGTTCGCGGTGCAATGTTAATAAAACAGGATCGATTGTACGTCGATCGAAAGGCGTCACCGTGCAAACGACCGCGTTCCAACGACCCGACGAAGCTGAATAGCAAATGAAACACCGTGTGCAACGTCAATCAAGCGGGTTATCCTAGTCCTAGGCGAGGACTTTCGAGGCTGGGAGGGATCGAATGGGTGGCTAAACAGCCGATTCGATTGTCCGGACTCTCCGGGCAATTTTCAAGCTAAACATATCGACAATGCAGCGAGAAACGAGGTCGAGAACTCATCGTTTGGCACGCTGAAAAAGTAGCCTCGTGTGTGCGCAGTAGGATGAGGTAGAACGACGTTACTATCGATCAACGACCACGATCACGTGTGATTAGACTCGGACCAAAACTTATAGTGACCACTGCCAACAGCTAGCCTAAACATAGTCGAACGACCTGTTATAGCATCCTCACGAACCACGAGGAAGTTCCAACAAATAAAAGGGACGCGAATGGCTATTCGAATTCACGGCCTAAAACCTGATCTTCGCGTTCGGCAAAGATCGATGTTCGAAATTTGTCGGAGACACCCACGAAGATTTTTCGATTCGAGCGATATTACACGGAACATGCACAATAAAGTACTATTTAAGAGGGACGGGAAAAGAGAACACACGTGGAATACAGGTTACAAAGTTTAGAGAACAAGATTTAGATAGAGATAGAGTCCTCTCTGTATACGAGAGAGGATTAAAAAGTACTCGGGACGGGTATACTGTCGTTATCTCTTCGACTAAACGACCAACACGACCAGAGATAGTAATCTAGGAGGAATCAAGAGACAAGCTATAAAATTTATCACTTTATAGACAAAATTATACCAATGAAATCACCGAAGCAACCTCGAGCGTCGCTCACGAGAAGCGAAACGAATCGGAGAGGGACGTAGTAGTACAAAATTTCCAAAGCGTTACCTGACTTTTGTTTACGATTTTGCGCCCTGACCTTTTTTCCCACGCCGTTTCATGCGAGTGCAGTCGCCAACGAATAGAGACTCGACGATTTGATTCTGGCCGTTTTGAGTTCGACTGCGCCGCGAACCAGAATTTTTCACCGCGTTTTATACCACGGAAGAAAGGACGAGAAGCAAAATTCGTACGAACAAAGGCAGCCTCGAAAGATCGGCCGTGCACGGGGATCGATTCACTGCTTTTGCCACGGGATCGTACGGAAACGTACGAACGAGTCGGAAGATCTTCTCGACCGAGGAAAGAAGCATACTTCGAGGAATAGTTCGTTGATTCGACGTTGATACGCGTTCTGTATTATAATAGACACGGTTGTACGTACATGATCGAATTTTCTTCAAGTTGACCGGTGATTCACGATTTTGCCGGACGATTGTATAAAATGAAACAAAAAAAAAAAAAAAGAAAAGAAAAAAATGGGAAAAAAATCACACGTATGAGCGAGTACACAGGGGACAGGTTGGTACGGTGTACGCGCGCATACACGCATCTTATCGTTAGTATACATGTAACGCCATAGATAAGTGCGTAGCCGCGTAAGAGACCTAGTCATATTTTGACACGATCGAGTTTATTATATCGAGACGATACGATACGTTGTACAGTAACCGTTTTTTCACCGAGAGTCGAACGACCGACGCCGACGTTGTCGAGGAAAGCGAGTTTTTAGTGTTGCGCACCGCGTCGTACACAAACATACAAAAATACATCACGCAGATACAAACACAGACATACACCGTGTACATACAAGAGAAACGAGATGATTGTTGAATGAATAAGAGGAGTGAACGTCCTTCGATGGTTTTATTAAAGCGTTATTAACGATATCGAGAGGAAGGGTGAATAAGGATGTGACTGATGGGTGCATGATTGAGGGTGCGTGATGAAAAACAGGAGCGAATCGTGCCAGAAAAGGGGATAATCTGCGCTGATGTCGCGGACGACAGGCGGATGACGATGCTTTTCAAGTCACGTCCGATTATCCACCGCGTGATGTCGTATAATTCGATAATAAGATTCGATTGATGCCACCGCGAACGAGACACGTTTCCAGGCGACGGCGAGCATCACGACGTGTCGTCGAGGAATAAGTACGGCCTCTATAGATAATTTTAACGTAATTGGAGGCTGTGGAAAGCGAATCGAGACAGACAGCTTCGTCGAAAATTGATCACGTCGCTGAGATGAGGAGTCCATTTCGGTGGAATGACGAACAGGACAAGACGCGATAAGAAATTTTTAACGATCGAGATGATCGAGTCTCGGAGCTGATGGGAGCTCGCGTAATTGCCATCGCGGGAGAACGCTAATCCCAGCCTGTTGATAAATGAATTCTTCATCCGCGTCGATTAATTAAGAGGTTCGCTCTCTCGAAATCGAGACACGTCGGTTCGTCCCTTTCTTTCTCCTGTCTTCGTGTCTCTCTACGCGTCGATTTATTCCGCAAGGTCCGCGATATCGGAATTTCCATTTGCTCATGCCGAAAGCGTGTAAATCGGGCCGGGCACGATTCGTTCTCGCGGCCAGGACCCCGACTGAGAAATTCTCGTGACTGCGATATTTCGATCAAATTGAAGAGCGGAAACGTTCGCGCAGATAATGGCACGCATTACTGCGACGAACGAAATGGGGGAGGGAATGAATCGAGGCGTGTGAGATGCTGGTCGGAAGAGCGGACAGTTCGAACAGTTCATAACTCTACTTGTCGCGTCATCACTGGTGTGCCACTATTCAATAAATAAATTTTATTTACTTAATCGATCTAGACGTTTCTACACTTGGCGTAGCAATTTGGAAACACGTTGACTTCCTTTTTGTTTTCTTTCTTTGCGATCGAGGGTCTGAGACCCCGCGGGGTGTGAAATTTCTATCGATTGCAACAGTCTCTCTCTCTCTCTCCCCGTCTTGATTCTCAGCTCTTCGGTCGAATGAATGTGATACGCAAATGAATCGTCAACTTTAAACATATCTCTCCGAAATAAGACAGACAATTAAATGTTGTTATATACATGTTTTACTGAATATCATTGAGACACTTTTTCTATCTCCGTGCAAAGTTCATCCATTGACAGTCATACCATGATTAACCCTCAGATAGTACTGTTGGGTCATAGATGACTATAGAAATTTGTGTCAAGTTAGTAAAATTTAGTATTTGATTTTGATTCGATTTTGACAGTGATTAAGTGATAAAGTTCAACTGAATTAAAAATTCTACAACTGAGTAAATAATTGAACTCTAAATCACTATAGTTCCCGATGGCCCAACATAACACGTTCGTGGCCGACGTAGTCTTACGTCATTTTATAATTTACGACCAATTTCCAATTCTACAGTATTTTCGTATTTTCAAGTCATTCTGTAAGAAAGCATTATACATGAATTCAAACAGCTGCTTCAGTTTCACATTTTTCTTCGATTTATTTCAACTTGCACTTGCAACGTTTAATTCTTCTTTTTTTTTCTTCTTCTTCTTCTAAACAAAGTGATTGTATACTATACAAGCAAATTTTGTATATTTACTTCCATTTAAGTAGCAAAACTCCCCTAATAAATGGTCAATACGAAACTTCATGTCAGAATCGTCAGCTGCGAATGTGTTCAAAGTTGAAACCATCCCATGCTTGTCCCAAACCCCTGTGAAAAATTCGACCGATCATTCAGCAAGTTTTACGCGCGATTTATGTACCTTTTCCTTTGACACCTCCCTTTCTTTCACAGCCGAGCACTTGGCGAGGAGGATAATAAACGAGCATGGCAAATGAACTGCGATTTTCGTTTCTTCGCCAGGGAAATTCATCCAGGGAGTTCAGCCCGATCGATTCGATCTGAACGGAACACGGAGGGACACGGCGACGTCATCATAGACAGGATGACAAGTGAACAACGATAGTTCATCAGTCACGTTTATTCCTCGATACATATTCAAATCGACCCGATGTGCCTTCAGTTAACGTAATTTCGTTTGCCGCTACCGTTACGTCAATTATGCAAACCTCGTTTCCTGCATGAAACTATCAAGTCAGCCTATCGATGTCCCTCGAACGCCACCATCTTCCGATTTAATAGCGTGTTCGTCGACCCCGATCGCCACTGACCCAGTACGAATTTCCATTTTCATACGACGAGTGAATAACGACGAATAAAAACGTTTCATTGTTTCTGTCGAAAGTTTCGTTTTGTTTTGCTGTTGTGTCCAAACGTTTGTTGTTCGAACGAGATGGTCCATTCGAATCAATTTTATATCAATGTCCATCGCAGTTAAGTGAAACGAAATTATTATTTCGTTGGTTAAATAAAACTTGAATTTGGCAATCGCGTGTTGTATAATTGACTTCAATTTACTAAATGTTCCATTAATATTAATTTCACTCGCGACCACTACGCACGAACCTTATTTAGGTGTATTAATCGT